ACGCTCCTGTTCCGTTTGAGGGAGTTTAACAAAATCTGCCCGTAAAGCAGCAATATGATGAGATACAAGTGTAATAGCCCGTGATGTACTTGCTTTTTAAACGCCGCTAAGATCTGCCACAGTTTGCTGAAAAGATCCTGATGCATAGAACCTGAGTGTAATGAAACACATTTGATGTGGTTGCATAGCGTTGTTGCTGCCAATGGAAAAGTAATTTAGGAAAAAAACATTTATATTCGTCAAATGATATGATCTTACCGTGTTCCAATATAAATTTTTTCTTTTATTAAAGAAAAAATAAACCACGCAGCATCTTTGCATATACGAAATCGATCACGAAAATCAACATCATCGTAATAATGAAAAAAATCAGGACGTTCTTTTATTTTTCTTTTTCGTCGAAGAACGATTACTTGTAGAACATCAAAATCGAAATCACTTTCATCTGAATCTACAACATCCATTATTATTTACAAAAATTTTCATTTAACACAGAAATATAAACCACTTCAAATAAAGACGCCAAGATTATTATAGCGAGGTTGCTATAGCTGTACAAATGAAATAAGTACTATTTCTTCCATTTACATTGTGCTTTACAGCAACACTGTCGTAAGTCAAGAATAAGCCAATTAAAGGGTAGGCTAACTTTCGGCTTAGGTTAGCCTAGATGGTGAAAATGAATAAGTCCAAAAAATGGCTTAACTAAGTTAAGTTGAGTTGGAGAAACCAGCCCTATGAAAACACCAGTACCCAAGTCAAAAAAATATATGTATTATGCTATTATTAATATACTATATATACATACATATACTGGCGGTCAAAAATTTGATTGGTGATTGGTGATTAGTTTTTATTATATTTACAATGTTTTTCAAGCTAAAATTTTTATACCCGACCGCACATGTGCACAAGGGTAGTATTACTTTGCTCACATACCGGCTGTTTGTAATAGGCAAAACGAATCGAGATAGATATACAAGAAATCGATTAAGCGGTGACTGTCTGTCTGTCCGTCCGTGCGTCCGTCTATGCACACGATAACTCGACTAAAAATTGAGATATCTTAAGGAAACTTGGTCTGTGTACTTCTTTTCGGTGTGGGACGGACGGTAATGAAAATAGGAAAAAATGGACAATAACCACAACTACCTCCCATATAACGGTAGTATTCAGAAATACGAAAACTGCGATATTTTAGTAACTACTGAAGCTTATTCACTTAAAATTGATGTTTACAATCATTTTTAGGCGAAAAATAAGAATATTATAAATTTTTGAAAAATGGGCGTAGCCACGCCCATTTATGATTACACGTGTAAATCTCTTTGGAACCGCTCCATCAATTTCTCCCAAACTTTTAAATTTGGACCACCCTGGTGCGAAATAACGTCAATTGACATTATTACCTTCTCGAAAGCGAAATAAAATCCATTGACAATATTGCTCTTTCAAACATTAAANAAAATTGATGTTTACAATCATTTTTAGGCGAAAAATAAGAATATTATAAATTTTTGAAAAATGGGCGTAGCCACGCCCATTTATGATTACACGTGTAAATCTCTTTGGAACCGCTCCATCAATTTCTCCCAAACTTTTAAATTTGGACCACCCTGGTGCGAAATAACGTCAATTGACATTATTACCTTCTCGAAAGCGAAATAAAATCCATTGACAATATTGCTCTTTCAAACATTAAATTTACTTAGCTTCGCATACACCGCGCGACCGGCGCGCCACACCACGTCACTCTTCGCCGCCATAAAATAAATAAATTGGAAATCAGAAGTAATATATCAGTGATGACAGGTAATAAGTC